TATATTTTAGCAGTATTCCTCTGGCAGTGGTGTAAAGAACAAACAAAAGATGAAGAACAAAATGGAGATACAAGAGATTATAGGAAAGTCAACATTTAGGAGGCATTGCACATACTCTGTTGTTTCTCAAAGAAAGAATACTTCATAGAAGAATGACTCTAGAACGTTTCCAAAGCTTGAGTATGAGTTTGGCAGGTAGGGAAGGTAGGAAATGGCATTCTAGAACCAACGAAGAGCATATTCAAATGTATAGGAATGAGAGAGCATGCACATTCTGCAATCTGCAAGTATTTTCTGTTGAGCTTTGAAAGGACTAAAGACAAGCTAGTAAAATCTACACAGAGTTTTGTGATTTTTTCCCTTCTGCCTGAAAAATATCCCTTAGTGTTTCCTTTTGTGTGAATATGTGGGCAACAAATTTATTCCACTCCTAAATGGTTTTATTTCTATGTTTTTGATTCTGGTCAATTAACATCTATACTTGACCAGTATCACACAGTTAATTAATGGAGCTTTATAATATGTTTTAATATCTAGTAGGCTTAGTCTTCTTGTCATTACTTTCTTTTTCCAGAATTTTTCCTGAATAATCTTGCTTTTTAATTTTGTGTATATGATCTTTAGAATCAGCTTGTCAAGTTATCAGAAATCCTGCTGGTATTTTTATTTGGATCACATTAAATTTATATCTTAATTTAGGGAAAAGTGACCTCTTTGTACTATTGAATCTTCTTATCTAAGAATAAGAGATGTTATATATATAATGAATAAATAAAGTGAGGGTACTAAGTATTTTTCTTGATTTGTCCTACAGCTGGGGAGAAACCTGGGGAAACAAAGGCTACATCCTCATGGCTCGGAATAAGAACAATGCCTGTGGCATTGCCAACCTGGCCAGCTTCCCTAAGATGTAATTCCAGCCAGCCAACCCTGTCCTGCTATTCCATTCCTTCTGTGATGGTGCAATGTAATGATGTACTTTGGAAGGAAGTTAAGGTGCCATTCTTGAAGCAGATGTGGTAGTACTGAAACTTTCTCTTCAGTTTCCCCATTTGTTTGTACTGCAAGTGATCCCTGCTACTTTCCTCCTCTCCATTCAAGTCCTTTTTCATCATGGCCACAGCAGCAATTTCCCTGACAGATGTGCACTCTTAGGCTAAGAGATGTGACCACAGCCTGCCCCTGTGGGTTGTCCTGGAGCTGATGCTGTCCAGACAGAGGCTAGAGGTCTTCATGTAGGCTAGATTCTCATTCACTAGGATTAGTGAGCTTTAACCACCCTAGAGGACTAGGGTGACCTGACTTCTCACTTTCCAAATTCCCTTCTTCTGTCTCCTCAAGGTAGAAATTTCTATATTTTCCACAATTCATAAATCTATTCATAAGTCTTTGGTACAAGTTTACATGATATAAGACATGCGTTTTCTTTTCGCTTCTTTGCATTTTTGAAATAAAGTATTTATCTTTTGCCTACAATTTAATAAATAGTATTTAGTACACATTCATTTTGTGTTGGATAGTTGCTGGAGACAAAAAAATGAATAAAACATGTTCTCTATACTTGATGTGCTCACAGTCTGGTTGGAGAGACTGTTGCATAAACAGGTCATCTCTATTTATTTATTTGTTCATTCTTTCAACTGATGTTTATTGAGTGCTTACTTTATACCAAGAACTGTACTAAGTTTCCGGGATTAAGTGAACATAAGGAGATCTCAACATGTAAGTCTGCTGTGGGGGGGACCAGATTTAGTGACATGTGAACCTAGGTCTTGAAAAATATCTTAAGGCCCTTTCTATGAGGTTCTACAACCTAAACTTTTCTGTCACCAAAAGAGGAAATTGAAATTCTTTACTAATAGTGTCCAACCAGTATCAATTCTAAAAGAAATTAACTGGCTAATAATAAATCAGCACAGTTTGTTTTGCTGTTTTTCACAAAATGTGTATTAAGTACCCATTATTACCACTAGAAAGAGTTC